TTTCAACTCCTTGCCAAGTACCTTTATTTTGTTCCCATCTAGCCCTCATCTCACCAAAAACTGAAAGGAGAAGACCCAAGAAAAGAGACAGACAAGATTAGTTTTGTCCTAAAAACAAAAACAAACAAAAAAAAAAAAAAAAAAAAAAAAAAAAAAAAAAAACAAAAAAAAACAGAAAACAAACAGCTGTTTCTGTGATAAAAGTACCAGTGCTCTGTAGAGTGCTGGGGGTTCTTTCACTGGCAGACCATATAATTTGGACACTTCTTGTCAATTGTTTGAGACCTGGTCATTGAATCTAAAAGACGGGGGTAATGGTCTCTACTACACAAGGTGTCCCAAGGGCATAAGGGATGCAGAGTACCTTACTCGAGGCCTCATACAGTTACTTGGGAGCCATGTGGTTTCCTCCCTGGCCCTGAGGAATGGCCAAAATGGACCATGAGAACATTGCAAAATTACAATCGAAATTACAATTGTCCCTCAGTTTCCATGTGGGTTTGTTTCTGGAACCCTCTCTAATACCGAAATCCTTGGATCCTTAATCCCTCATACAAAATGGTGTGGTGTTTGTCTATGACCTACACACCTCCTCCTCTGTACTTTAAATCAGCAGAAGATTACTTATAATCCCTGACACAATGTCCCTGCTATATATAAGTCTTCACACTGTATTGTTCAGGAAATAATGGCGAAGGAAAAGTCTCTACGTGTTCAAGGACAGATGAAATTTTTTAAACTATTTTTTATCCATGGGCAGCACAGTCACATAATCCTGTAATCTGAGTACCCCGGGGGGCTGAGGCAGGAGCATTGCAAATTTGAGGCCACAACAAGACCTTGTCGATAGATAGATAGATAGATAGATGATAGATAGATAGATAGATAGATAGATAGATAGATAGATAGATAGAATTTGCTACTCATGGTTGGTTGAGTCTGTAGATTCAAAACCTGCAGACACTGTAAGGTGACTGTACCACTACTCTGGTGGCTTCAAACACTAATTTGTTTATCTTACTGTTCTAGACACTGTAGTACAGATGGGTGTGACTAGGTTAAAATTAAGAGGTCTGCCAGGCCGCATTTTCATGGAAGGCTGTAGAGGAGCCCGGCTTCCCCATTTCCAGGTTTCCTGGGGTGGCCCTTCCAGCACCTCACCAGGCTGTCCTCTGCCGCTGTCTTCTCAGGACCTCCCCTCTGCCTCTGACTCTCCTGCCCTCTAATATAAGGAAAGACCTTCGTGACTGCACTGCACACATCCAGATGATCTTCCCATCTCCAAATTCTTCGCATACATCTACAAAGCCGTGTGAAGTATCATGGTCCAGGTTTCAGTCGTTGGCATGTGGACATCCGGGGGTCCTGACTGAGTCTACTGCAGTAGCCACATCAGTTTCCATAAGCTACAGATATCTTCATTTAAATAGTGGGCCCTGACCTCACGTAGTAACTTCTTAATCTGTATCCTTTCCCTCACTGTATCTATAAATGTGTCCTTATCCACTCATTCCTTTAGCTGAAGCTTCTAGGGCTGTCCTTGCTCCCTGTTGCTGTACTTTTCCGTTCCGGTCAGTCTCCAGAACCAACCTCAGAGACCAGCCTCCTTCCACCTTGCTCCGGCGGCCTGGGTGCAGACCCTCATTCCTCCCACCTGGACACTGCCTACACGCTCACTGCTTCCTCCGTCACCTGTCGCCCTGCCCCTTCAGCTCACCCTCTGCCCTGCTGCCCAGCTCTTCTTTTTCCACAACAGCTTCGATCCCCACATCCCTCTCTGAGACACCTTGGCTGACCCCCACACTGCCTACAAGGCCCCCAGTTTTACCCCGAGTCAGCACCCTCCCAAGGATGAGCTGTCTCCCTGTCCTCACATCTGTGCTTCCCACCTGCTGCAGCTTATGTTTAACTCTACTCTAGGCCCCCAGCCACAGGGCAAGTGTTCCAAGATGTTCTGCCAGTGCCCGAAACTGCAGATGGTACCAAACCCTGCAAACACTATGCTTTTCTTATAAATACATGCTCGTGATAAAACTGCATGTATATCTAGGCATGGTGGGAGATGAGTAACAATAACAAAATAGAACAATTATGACAACCATCTGTCATAAAAGACTTTCAAACTTATAAATTGTTTCTTTCTGCAATTTTCCACTTCTTATAGACCATGGTAGGTCATGGGTAACTAAAAGTGTGGAAAGTGATACCACACAGGTGAGGGGGACACTGCAAACCATTTGGAATTCCTCCCCGTTCACACCCACACCCTCCTCTTTCCTGTCCTGAAGATGCAACTCACTCTGCCCCAACTACCTGAAATGACCCTCTAGCATCTTTGCCTGCAAGATTCGTACTCATCTCATTTTAACCCTCACAAATCTGGAGAGGGGCAGATACTAGGAAATCTTGCTACAGCTGGGCAGACAAAGCCAGAGCATGATGAAACTGACCTCACACGTGGAATACCTCATGGCTGGCAGGGCTCTCAGCAGATGCCTGGCTGTAATCTGGTCCATTTCCTGGAGGTCAGTGGGGGTCTTAGTCACTTCCTTGTTGCTAAGATACAATACCAGATACCCACAAATTAAAGGAGGAACGGCTTATCTTGGCTCACAGTTTGTGAAGGCTTCCGTCCACGGTTGGCCACTGGCTCCAAGGCAAGATGGCAGGGTACAGGGGCGTGGCAGAGGAATAGCCATTCACATCGTGATGTCCAGAAAGCAGAGTGAAGAGCGAGGAGCTGGGGAGGAACATAAACCCTTTCAGGTCACACATCTGATCAGATACCACCTCCTAACAGCCAGTCGGCTACAGTGCCCCATGATCCTGTCACCTCCCAAACACAGCAGGCTTTGAGGCCATTTTCAATCTTTTCTCCCACAGTGGGTTTTAGTGTCCAATTAATTGACAGACTGAATATTATTTTTTCTCTTACATCCTTCCAGATTCCCCCTGGTGTCTAACAAAATAAAACGGAGACTCTGTAGCGCTGCTCATCCTAATACCCCATAAACATTCTCTAAGTCTCTACTCCAAGTGGCAACTAGAGTGAGGTGGATTTTCTCATGCGAATCTCTGCATGATATTTTAAGGTCCCTACTCCGACTCTACTCTAAAACCCAGTAAGGGCTGACTTTCTATTGCTCTCGGGCAGGTCCTTCACCTTCCCAAAATGATCTCCGTGGCTGGCTTGCTGACTGTCCTGTCTGCCCACCCTGCCTCCCCTCACACCACAACACCCTTACTTCATCCTTCCTGTGCCTTGGAGCGCCGCCGCCATGCTCCCTCCTTGCACACGGGCTTTGTGCGAGCTCGGCCTTCTGCCGGCCTGGGCATCGCCCTCTCCTCAGCGAAGTCAACTTCCTCCTCACCTTTCGGCTTACCATCCAAATGTCACTTCTCTGGGGAATCGATATTTGAATATCGGTAATCTAATTCAAAAGGCTTTCCCTCAAACCATGTTGCCTCTTTAAACGCTGTGCTTTTAATCTGACAAAAGAAATCCGAATATTAAAACGTATCAAGAGTATGTGATTGAGCAAGGCTCTTTCAGAATGAAGAAAATTGGTTTTTATTATCTGGAAACTCCACGGTTGGCCTCAGGCGTTTCCTGACAATGACGAGATCAAATAGCCCACTCTTCCTGCCGCTGTCTTACTTCTTCTGCATCCCCTATGAAACCTCAGCTGCTATTAAATACTGAGGAAATCTCAACATATTAGTTGATTAATTGACTGATATATTTCACTTAATTATTGCTTTTTTAAAAAAAAAAGTTTGGCGGTTTATTAAATAATTAAACATGCAGCTCTCATACAACCCAGCAATTATCCTCTGGGCATGTATTTCAGAGAAGTGGAGACTTGCGTTCACATAGCAGCTTGTACACAAGTGTTTATGGCAGCTTCACACATGACAGCCAGATATCCTTTAACGCTACTAAACGCAGTGTGGGGCCTCGACACCGTGGAATACCCCTCAGAACAAGAGGAAACAGCAACCTGGATGAGTCCCCAGACGACTGCACTGAGTAAAGAAACATAAGTTCCAAAATATTGTTTACTATATGTGATTCCATCTCTGCAACATTCTTGACTTTTAAGACATTACCATTAGCGGAAGCTGGGGAAAGGATACAGAGAAACTGCCTGTATTGTTTCTCACAACTGCATGTGACTCTACAATGATCTGAATTAAAACTCTTATCTTTTAGTGGACATACTTAATGAAGCATAAATAACACACGGAGTTGTTCATAAACACAATTAACTGTGGTGCCCAAAAGTCTCTTCTTTCTTTGCTGTTAGATTGTTGGTTAGTTATTCATGATTACTAAGGATTGTATATCTTTTTACTTGAAATGTGTGTGCTGTTGATCTCCTTCAGGTTGATTTCTCAGTGACCAAGGCCACTTTAGCATCCTTTTTTTTTTTTTGCCTCTGTTGGCTTTCATACACTACTCTGAATCTTGTCCATCCTGGCTAAGATAACATTTGCACCATCTTTGGTTTGTACTTCAGTTTCCTGCAGTACTGCGACAACGCAGGGGAGCAATGTCTTCTTCACTTCTCGGGTACGAGAAAGGTTTTTAAAGTAGCACCTCTGCCATCTGCAGCCTCAGATGCCCTCATCTAGTTCTCAGGGTTCTGTGAGCTTAGTGTGGTCCAGTACCTCAACAGGTCATCATCGCTTGGAGACCTTGGGCTGGCTGTTGTTCATGTTTTTCTCCAGTCCTTTTCATCTCCTCATCATTTTTCTGCCAACATTTAATACATAATGCTGGTTATCGTCTTTATTAGATTTCCTCTCTACTTTCTGCTACCTTTGCCCAACATGATGTATTTAGGTTTTGACTTTTCCTCCCCATTAACTGGCTTGATTTTAACCCTTGTTCATAGAGCTCATGCCTGTTATGGGGCTTTGGACAGAACAGTGTCAGTGCTGCATTTTGGGGTTGATTTTCACGCTTTCATGTAAAATTTCTCTGTTTTCTTTTTCAGTGACTACAGAAAAAATCCAGGAACATATTGCCAACCAGGTATTTCCTCACTTCTCTCTGATATAAAATTTTATGGTAAATGTTTGTAAGCATTTTTAAATGTTAAAAAAAAGATGATGCCAATGATTCAATACGATAAAAGTATATGCTATCGTTTCTGACAAGAAGAAATCAACTGTGGATGGTTATGCCCTTTCTTTGCCCCCAATCCTGTTGCTTCCCTCTGCCCCATCCAGCCCAAAGTAGGAAATGGCAGACCAATGGCTTCTGCCTTTTCTCACATCTAAGCATCCCCGAGACCATATTGTGACCTCTATGTATATTGATGCCATCATGACAGCAAATAGCTTTGCTCTACTTTTCCCTAAACAGAGGTGACTCGCCTCTGTGACTTTCTCAAGTGTGCATTCATCCAGGTGAAAGTCATTCTTTCCCAAGTAGCTAAGAGCTGAACCCCTGGCAGCAAAAGGCCAACCCAAGGCAACTTTCCGCTCTGATTGTTAATTTCTACTTATAGTCACCTGGCATTTTTCTGTGTGCTTCACTCCTTTCTTATCCAATCTTCTTGCTGATATATTATTCGTATTTTTGGAGATAGAGTCCTTATATATAACTGTGTAAGGGGCTTGTGCCATCCCACATACAAACCAAAGGGGGCCTTCAGTGAGGCCAGCGGTGCCCACCCATCTGGTCCTTCCGTGGGCCACTTGAGCAGCACATACTCCTTGTTCGAATTCAGGCGTTGGCCTGTGGCAGAATATGCTCAGATTTCCCTCGTAGATACAAATCACCATGCCTTCTTTCCTCCCTCTGGCAAAAGTTATAATTCTTCCTTGCCAAAGGATGCATTTTTCAAAGTCTCAAATGCTCTCCAAAAGAAGATCCAGTTCTAATTCCCCCTGTCGATCTACCTAAGCAAAGTTCTAGCTTTACCCAGTCTGTGCCAGATACCCTGGAACACAACAGGCTTTCAACACAGGGAACTCATTTAATTAACATATTATCCTGCAAACTCAGTAAGCAGAATTTAATGTTTACCAGGTGCCTTTTTGCTTTTGAACGTAATTGTCAATGTTGACTTGCAGAAGTAGTCAATTGAATGCTTGAAAAAAACCATCATTGTGTAATAGCAAAAGCAGGTGGCCATTCCAAATAGTTTATTTACTTTTGGGGCTTAGTATCTTTATTGTTATATTTTCAGTTATTTGCCTGAGCTCAAGTGATTTTGTAAAGCTAAACAACAGTGAAGCTATAAACTTTACTCTTGCCATTTTTATTTAAATCCCATAGGGAATAGTCTCCTTGTAAAGAGACGTGATTTTCTCATTTATTTAGTAAGTTAAAGAGTAAGTCTCAAAAATATATCAAGGCTATTTCTTAAGAGTAAATTTTCTTTCCTTGTAGTTTCTTTCTTTGTATATTTGGCTGAACTAATAGAATATATGAACAACAAAAGAGAACACCAAATATTTACTTATAATCTTCAACTTTGATTTCCTGCCAAATAAAATCATTATGGTTTCTAGTCCCATTGAGAAAGTGAAATTCTTTGGACTTAAACATGAGAGAGGAGGGTCTTAAAATTTTATGTATATAGTCATTCTCCAAACAGATAATTGTGTAATAATTGTTCACCAGCTTGTATTTCTGATCCTACAATGGAATTTCTATTTTTTCCTCTTCCAATTAGAGATGTGTTCCCCACTCCCAAGAATGCTGGCCATACAATTCACAGAGTCATCTTATTATTCTTCTAATTTGTCTACATTCTGGCACAGAATTAAAAAAAAAAATGAAGTCACCTTTTTCAAATCACTCTGCCACCGAAGGAATTTGGCTCTTGAAAAACATTTCTGAAAACTCACTTTAGATAATCAATACAGTATACTTTATCAGAGAGAAATGTAAAACACAGCACTGTTGAACATTAATCTTACTCCTAAATCCTTCCCAGTAAGCAGTATAGATTGTGTAATTAAATTGAAATTGAAAATCAAGTCCTTTTTCTGTCTTTCTTTTTCCTCCCCCCATCAGACAGGCGATGAGTTGTGTGCCAATGTGAGAAATCAGGGCTGGAGAGGAGGGGAGACTTTAGGGGGTTGGCCAATTTTCAGGGTGCATTGTGGCCTCCATCTGGTTCACCACACCTGAGCTCAAAGAACAAACAACTACGTGAGTCCTCTGGAGGAAGTGCTGGCTTCTTTCCTATGTAATTCACTGGGGAAGTAAGTACGCTTTTTAAGAGCAACTTGTTAATGCAGCTTGTTTATGAGGACAAAAATGAGCCGAGCACAACTTGGCAGCTCATGTCCCAGAATGGGGCGAATGCATGACCCAATTTTTTCAGCTGTCCCTTTGGTAATTCAATGCCACAATAATTTCCTATCTGGAAAATGTGGGTTGTAGAGATGTAATCTTCTACGGGTTTTCTGAATCATTTTCACTATGACAAATTAAAGGGAATACCTTTAACATACAGCCAAAAAACTATTTCCAAAACCAAATTAAAATATGACTATTATGAGAATAGAAAAAAAAAGAAGTGGGTAAAGCCTTCTTAATTTAACTTTTGGAAACTGCCTTATTATACCATTGAAACCTGTAGTAAATTAATACCTTCTGTTTATACTTTCTTTGTGTAGCAGGTAATTGAAATCCGTAGTGAATTAGTACCTTGTGTTTATGCAGCCAGCTAACAAACAGGGATGCTAAGTAGGAAGGCTCCATGCCATGCAGACATGCTCTCCAGGTTGTGGAGAACAGTCCCATATCTCCAGGGTGGGAGCTGGAGGGAGGCCTTCCTCACTGTCCACCCGGTTCACGTGGGGCCAGCCCCCTCCATCACATGCCATTGGAGCTACCCAAGATTATCCCAGCACTGCCAGAACAAAGTACCACACACAACAAAAATGTGCTACCTCACCATTCTGGGAGGCCACACATCCCAAATCAAGGTGTCGGCAGGGCCACACGCTCTAATACACACAGGCAAGGATCTCCCCGCCGCGCCTCTTCCGACTTTCTGCAAGTTGCCAGCAGTCCCTGGTGTTCCTTAGCTCATAGCTCCAATCTGTGTCCCCATCCTTCCTGTGTGATCCTCCTCTTCCCACAAGGAAGCCACATGATTGAACTTGGGCCCACACGGATGGACTCGGATTAACCAAATGACTTTGGTAAGGGTCCCATTTCCAGAGAAGACCACATTTCACAGGGACTAGGCCTTAGGACACAGGTGGCCCGCAAGGAGCTGGAAGAAACCTCAGTCATCTCCCTTGTGCCTCCCTCTGTAACCCCTGAGCAAGGAGAAGCCTCCCCAGGTTGGCCATGATTACTCACCTCACCTCTCTGAATAGTACCATTGCCCCAGAAGCCTGTTGGTATCCACCTAGAAACCAAAGCTCTGCGAAATGTGGAATTGGCGGTTCTAGAATTGACTTCAGGCATAGCACAAACCTTAGGCCAGGCCAAGAGATTGTCATAAACGTTACAAGGCTCCAAGAGTCACAAAAATGCAAAGAAAAGGCGTTTTTCTTCTTAGCCTCCCTTTTTAAAGTTTGATAACCAAGTAGGGACACACAGCACATGAGAAAAGGACATAGCAGCGGACTCGAGTGGGTCACGTGGTGGGGTGCCAGGCCGAGGAACAGTGGTCACAGCTGTGCCCCAGAAGCTGAAGAACCAGATTGCTCTAGGATCTCGGTATCTGCCTCCATCCCCACAAGCGGGAGGGTGTAGAAGGACAAGTCCCCGGTGCTCTCCTCTGCTGTGGGGATGTGATGGGAGGAGGTGAGTTTAGTTTGGAGTGACACAGAGAAACTCCTGAGAAGCTGCACTCTGAAATGGCAGGGGAACCTGCCCTCCACGGGACGTTCCCAGCCCTGCAGCCCCAGCCTGAGCCCAGCTTCTGCCCCTCCTGCCCTCTGAACCCGTGAGACCACTAGGACCCCTAGTTGCAGCGTGGCCTTAGGGAAGAGTCGGGCTTCTTGAGGGTCCCAGCTCAAGTCCCATCTTCACATTAGTACTTCCTTTAAAACTAAAATATTTTGACATACAGTAGGTGGGCTTTTCCATTCACAGTCTTGCTCTAGCACTCACAAATGGGGACAGTCCTGCAATTTTAATACTCCTTCTGTGACTCTAATGAAAAGCCAGGATTGAGAGCCTGCTCGTGTGTTGTCTGTTCCATAAATTCCTAGCCTCTAAGTATGAAGTCCAAGGTCACGTGATCTCGTATTCCTTCAGAAAGAATGGTCCACACCTTGCTAGACATATTTCCCATTCATCCCCTCCAGATAAAGCTATTGTGCCATTAATAAAATCGCCCCACCCTTTCTCTGCATGAACAAAATGTATTTAAGTAGGACCTGACTCAAGCACTACCGTGTTCCTGAAGCCTTCCTTTATCGCATACCTGAAAATAATCTCTCTCTTCTGTGATCCTATTTTATGAGCTCCTTTGCTATAGACCTTTGTATTTTCTACTCTGCATTCCTATTACTTACATCCCAATATAATTTTTGTGAGTAGACAGTATCACCCATCTCTGGGTCCACTGCTAGGCCTTGCATATCATAAGGGTGCAAGCAATTGCTGGTCAAATGTAAGTTTTCACTCACTAAATTATTATTCTAGTAGCCAGAGCAACTGCTAAATACGTTCAGTCTACTTCCTGTACACTGAAATGTTCAAACTTGCGTGCCACTGATTGTTTAAGATGGGAAGCAGGTGTTGTCTCTGCCCTTCCCATGTGAAGAATCTAAACCAAACACAGAAGGGACAGGTCCAGACTGTGCATGGCCTCCCTGAATAATGAGCACACAGTCGAGAAGGGAAACAGTGAAAGACTAAGGAGCGTCATGTCTTTATGCTTTTATGTCCTCCTTCCGTGTTTCTGTGGCACGTTAAGTAGTTTGCTTAAAACCTGGGTACCTGATTTCTTTCTCGAATGCCAGCATGCCAGTGCCATTCACTGCTGCCTTTTCAAGTGGTGTGAACTTTAGAACTTTTACATTCAAAATGGGGTTGCATTACCTTGCACT